CCTTTATTTTGCTGGATCAAGCTGATTTTATTCCTTTATTTTTCTGGATCAGGCTGATTTTATTCCTTTATTTTTCTCAATCAGGCTGATTTTATTTATTTTTCTGAATCGGGCTGCTTTTATTCCTTTATTTTGCTGAATCGGACTGATTTTATTCCTTTATTTTTCTGAATCAGGCTGATTTTATTTATTTTGCTGGATCAGGCTGCTTTTATTCCTTTATTTTTCTCAATCAGGCTGATTTTATTCCTTTATTTTTTTGGATCAAGCTGATTTAATTCCCTTTCTTTTTCTGAATCAGGCTGGTTTTATTCCTTTATTTTGCTGAATCGGGCTGCTTTTATTCCTTTATTTTTCTGGATCACACTGATTTTATCCCTTTATTTTGCTGGATCAGGCTGCTTTTATTCCTTTATTTTTCTGAATCAGGCTGGTTTTATTCCTTTATTTTGCTGAATCGGGCTGCTTTTATTCCTTTCTTTTTCTGAATCGGGCTGGTTTTATTCCTTTATTTTGCTGAATCAGACTGATTTTATCCCTTTATTTTGCTGGATCAAGCTGCTTTTATTCCTTTATTTTTCTGAATTAGGCTGGTTTCATTCCTTTATTTTTCTGGATCAGGCTGATTTAATTCCCTTTATCCTCCTTCCAGTTTGAGGCTGCATGGGCTCTGACAAACATCGCCTCAGGCACCTCCCAACAAACCAAAATCGTCATCGAGGCTGGGGCAGTTCCCATCTTCATAGAGCTCCTCAACTCTGACTTTGAGGATGTTCAGGAGCAGGTAAGATCCCTCCTCCCTTTGGGATTTTTGGGGAGAACCACAAATTCAAAATGCAATGTTTAAATGGAGTGATCCCAGGAAAATTTGCTTTTTCAGCGCACTTGCCTGTGTGTCCCTGTCAGAAAATAAAATAAATGCTGAAGCTGTTGGTGTTTCCTTGCAGGCTGTCTGGGCGTTGGGGAACATTGCTGGAGACAGCTCTGTGTGCAGAGATTATGTCCTGAACTGTGCCATCCTCCCTCCCTTGTTAATGTGAGTAACCATGAGCAGCTCTGGGCCATG